AAAGTGAATTTATAAAAAATTTAATTGAAATAATTATTTTATTTTATCATAAAAAACAAATTTATAATTATAAAAAAATAAAATTTTCTCTTTTAAAAATTTAAGCCTGCCCACATGCCATTCTTTATCTGTTAACCATAATTCTTTAGCAACTGATGTTTCTTTAAACAATAAAGCACCTTTAATAACTTTGTTAATTCCATCATCATTTAGTTCAACTTTAATAATTTCATTATCTTTAATTTTATTTTTTAATCCTAATAATCTTAATCTGTTTTTAATAAAGTTATTTTTATCATTAATGTCATAGAAAAAGAAACGTTTGTTACATTTTCTAGAAACTGATAAATGTTTTAGCATTTTTTCTTCCGAATCAGATCTAAAATCACAGACATTGCAAATATACGGCATTTTTTGACAAAAAGATTTCAGTTTAGAAAATTCTTCTGTAAAATCTATATTTCCTGTAGTAGGATTCTCATTGAATTTTTCATAATACTCACTTTCTTCACCCACATAAACATCTGCCAATGTGTATTCATCTAAAAAACTATAAATATAATCGTTAAATTTTATGATACCAGAAGTATTTGGCTTAGACTTTTTATACAGATTATGACACATGTGAAAACAAAATGACAGAGGCAGTAACATAACACCCTTCAATTGTAATTCTCTTATTATTAAATCAATCAAAGAAATTTTCTGATTCCTATTCATCCAATCATAGAATAATATTCTAATAAAAAAATTTCTTGATTCTAATTGACTGATGTATTTTTTAAATGAGTTTATGTCACTTAAATACAAACATTTATCTAAAATTGAGTAATCCTCATTTACAATAATATCTTTAACTGGTAGATCATCAACTTCTTTTATAACAAAGATTTTATCAGAAAGAATAACAACATTGATCACTGGAAAAGAATATAATGGGTATCTATAGATATCTTTAACAAGAGGACAACTCTCTATCTTATCGAAGAAAGATGTTATGTTTTTATTTGGTGTATTTAACGGCTTACATTTTATGAAATTATTCTTTAAATTGTATTCTTTCATTAATAAAAATAAAACAAAAACATTTTTTAATAATTAAAGTATGAAGGATCGGAATTTTTTAAAGTGGTTTATTTGTATTTAAAAGAATTCTTTTATTTTAAAATAGATTATGTAATTGTTAAAGAATAAACTCTATTAAAAACAACATTTAATATTTATTCATTGAAAATAATTTATCTTTAAAAATAAACTTTAAAGATTTTATGTTATTAAATTATTTAAATGAATTTTTTTATAATAATAAATTTGATTTAAATTTAACAATATTAATAAAATAGATTATTATTTTATATTTTATAAATTCAATTATAGTTGTTTAAATAACAGATTGAAAATAATTGTAAAAAGTTTATTTTAAATTTAAATATAATTAATCTTTGAATCATAAAATTATAATAGTAATAATAAATCAAGAATGTGAATTTAACAGTTTAATTATATTGATTGAATTTATATATAAGAATTTGAATAATAAAATGTTTATTATAAAAGTTTAACAGTAATCATTCAAGGAATTGATGATAAATAATATAGTTTTTACTTTTAAAAATTTCTGAGAAAGTCATTTAAATAGAAATTACTTCTTTTTATTAATAATATTTTTGAATCTTACTTTTTTTTAATTTAAAACCTGTTATATTCTTTAAAATGGGTGAAGGTTTACTTATTTGCAAGATGTATTTGAAGAAATTTTATTTGATAGATTTTGTAGGTTAAATTTTTTGTGAAAAAATTTTGTTTAACAAGAGAAATTTAGTACAGTTGAGTAAAGAGTATTTAAATTAAAGAGATGACATATATATGGAGAAAAACCTTTACATAAATAGTAAGGATGACACTCGAGTTAAAAAGACTTAATAAATTTTGTTCAATCTTTCTTTTTGTTTTAGCAATTATAAATAAATATTTTAATTTTTTTAAATGATTTTTTTGATAACTCCAATATAAGAAGCAAGTAAATAAGTATTTTGATCAGTGTGGTATTTCTTTTTAATAATAATATCCTTGTAGTTATTTGAGTAAGAAATGAAGATACTATAAAAGTAAAAAGATAAATACTTCTATAGAAAAAATTAACTCTCTATTTAAAAACATTTAAATCAATTTTTAAAAAGAAGTTTTAGAAAACATAACAGAAAATAATGAATTTTTTTAACGAGAGAAAAACTCTAAGAAACTGTCTTGATGAGTTAAACAAGTTAAGTTAGTTATTTAAAAAAAATAATGTAAAATTTTCAATTTTAAAGTTTCTAAATAAAATATATTTAATGAATTTTTAAAAATATTTTAGTTAAATATTTAAGCTCTTATTTTTATTTAAAACCATTTTATAATTTTAAATTAAATTATCTAAAAGTATTTATGTCAAAATCTATCAAAAACAATAAAAATTCTTTATAACACAGAATATACCATTTAAAATATTAGAAAAATATTTGATGTTATGTAAATTAGCTTAAAAATAAATTTCAATTTTAGTTTTTTGTCTAATGCAATTATCAAAATCAGCAGAAGATGAACAAACAAGTTTATTTAAATCTTTTTTATTATCCAATATCCACTAATGGTATTACCAGTGTCTATATCTATCGTCTCAGTATTATCATGTCTACTAAGTTATTTTTAATCATCTTAACTTTAATGGGTATAATAAATATTTTTTTATTTATAGTGTAAAAAATTTTCTAAAAAGGTGTAGCCCTGCAATTTTGCTTTTGGGGTATTACGACATTAATTAAAGCACTACATGAGTTTATTGTTTTACATTATTTTTTTATTAAATATTTTAATGAGATGAATAAGAAAAATCACAGATTTAAATTAATAATTATGAATAATAAGTAGAGTTTACTTACAAAATTAAAAGAAATTATTTTACAAATACACTTTGACAAATAATTGTCTTTATTAAAATTGACACATTCTGTTGATTGATTATAATAATAATTCATCATAAGATTGATTTATCTAATAATTATTAATAATAAAAAATGATTTAATTTTATCATTCAATGACGTAATAAATTAATAAATTAAGTATTACTAAAGTATAATTATCGTGCCCACACGGCTAGCGGCTTTAAAAGCTTAAAATTTTTGGCAATAAATTTACTTCTCATTTCCATAATCATTTAGGACATTATATTTATATACCCACAGAAAGAAAACTTTACACAATTATTTTAAGAACCAACAAAACGACTGATGTTAATTACAAGTAACATCGGTTACGACAATGTAATACAAAAACATAGTGCATCATACTAAAAATTAATTATAATTATGCAACAATTACTTTCTCTACCACAGTGCTTTTCATAAAGAGCTGAAATTATTGTTTTTAGTGATTCAAATACTATTTCCGCATTTTTATAAATTTTTCATCGAGGAACTTGTCTTTTAAAGACAAGTGGCAGTTGGTAATTTAATGGATAGTCCATTTATTTTAAAATTTAATATTCTAAATTTGTATTTCTTATAATTTACAGGAATTTTTTATGGTTATTTCATATGATTTTATAGATCTGGTTGTTGTCTCTTCTATTTTAACACATATAATTAGATAACTAACTCCAATCAATTGATAATCATTAGTTGTTGCGTTTATTGTGCGTATGTATCGATCTACAAGTATAATAATTCTAAGGTATGTATAAAATGTATATCTAAAACCCATACAAACCTCGTATATCCACCTCATTGGTGTTTGACGATGGCTTTTTTGTGTATAGTTATCTTGATATTCTTTTTTCTGGTACTGATAATATCTTAAATTTTTTTTTTCATTTAGACTCAATAAATATTTTTTTCTTTGATTTTAATGGAGGGAAAAAGTAGAGGGAATTTTAATCATTTTTTTATCACTAAATTTACAGAATAAAAATTAGTAAAAGAATTTAAAGAATAAAGTAAGTAGATGAAGAATAATTGAAGTATATTTAAATTTTATTAAGAATGAAAATATTTGTCTCTGTTAAATTAATCCATTAAAAAATTTTTATCAAATAAAGATTACTAATATTATAGATAGAATAATCAATCAATGAAAAATAGTAAATAGAGAATTTGTATTATTTTAAAAATAAAACACTTTTATGATTTATTAAAAAATAATTTAATTTTAATAATTTTTTATTTGTAAATTTTTTTTGATTAAAAAATTGTTAAAAATTTTACCCATAAAATGGACGAGTTTAAAAACCATGAGATTGAAAACCAAGTAAATGACGTACCTTCTGTTATTGAAGCACCAAAATTAGTTAGAACTAAGAAATCAGATGAAGAGACAGAACTAAAAAAAGTGAGTAACAAGAAAACAAGTAAAGAATTAACAGATAATGCAGTAGACAGCATGTTAATTGAAAATCTTGTGGAATGTGAAGAGAAAAGCACATGGGGAAATGTTAGTAAGGATAATATGTTTAAGACTAATTTTTTAGCACAGACTTCTGAAATAAAGTTTAACCCGAAGAGATCAGAATCACGAGTTAAAATTCCATTTACAGAGGAAGAGCAAGCTTATCTAATAAGAAAAGTAGAAGAACATGGAGATAATTGGAAGCTTATTTTAATGACAGGATTGAATGAGAAAATATTTAATCCAGAAAGACGAACAATTGATTTGAAAATTAAGATGGATTTGATCAGAAAGAATACATCTTATCATAGGGCAGCCTTTAGAACCTGGGATTTGATATCAATAAACGGAGAGGAAATTTATGCCAGTGAGAATAAAAGGTACCACGAATTTGAAAAGTTTCCATCAACTGCTGTTAAAAAATTTGCTTCATTACCAGTGTTAGACCATCTGAAGAACTTTATAGTGACAGTTGTAGATAGAAAAGTTTCATTTGTATCTCATACTTATAAAGTAGATGTTATTGTGACTGCAACGGGTAAGAAGCATAAAATTAGGAAAGCTAAGAATGAGGAAGAATGAATGAATTAATTTTTTAATTTTCAATTTTAAAAATTTATTTACTTTCTTCTTTATCATTTTCATACGCTTTAATAATTAAACCGACACCAATTGTTAATTCATCACTTCTTAAAGAAAACCTATCTTTATTGTTTTTATCCGCCTTAAAAACC